CAAAAAACTGACTTTTGCACTCTGAAAGTTACGTAAAGTAAAATGTACAGTCGCTTAAAATAACCAAGTTAAACACAAATTGTTTTGGGTCTCATATATTCAATGTATGCTTTCAATTACCCCAAAATAACATGTACATTACTGGATATAATAGCCATTCATGGTTCATGATCACAAATACAAGTTGTTAAGACTATAAAGCAAAAAACGGTTTTCACTTTTCTACTCCAATATTTTAGGTGGGCACTGTCTTGAACAGACACTCTTATTTGAACAGATTCCATTATCAATATTCCAGTAATAATATGTATTTTTTTAACATAGTGCCCAAAGTTTTACAAAGTAATCTAAATATTACAACAGCATTGTGTAATATGAACAACACAGCCCTTGACTGAAATTCAACACTTAGAATTTACACGTACACAATATATCATATAGTATTTCATGCCTTTTCATTGCTTATCCACATTATGTACTGGAGGAAAAAAATCAGCTTATCAACCTGTCTTGATTCTTGAAGTCACTGGTAGTCTAGCTGCTAAAGACACATGTGGACGACCAATTAGGAATGGTTGCTCTCTTTGTCTCTGTATCAATATATAAACTATGCACGGACTAAAGGCAAAAGCCATGGATATACCAGCATTAGGTCCATGGCAGGGTAGAGCAGATCATTTGGATGTCACATATGTAATGTACTTACAAAACTCAAAGCAATTCAAAGCACATTACAATGCTGAGGAACTATTTTACTTTGTCTATGTTCCCAAGTAACCGGCATACTAGCAGGAAGTAATACTTTGTTCAAGTGTACACTATATAACAGTGTACAGTGACCACCCAAGTTCAGAGAGACAGCTCAAGTTTAAAATACAATTGCAAATGCGCTGTCCTAATTATAACTCTGTAAACGTACATAGTCTTCCTGTAGCCCTAATTTTGGATAACCAAGCAGCACGTAACTATGGCACATTACATGCAACATTTGTTTTAGATTATTTTTGCCATAGTTTTGATCAGTGTGGACAGGGTCTCGTATGTCGCACTATAAAGAAAAAACTTGAATTGCATACAGTACCCAAATATTTTAAACACAGAGCATGAAAAGAAACTTATGAATAACAGCACTTTGCAAAAGTTTTGAACTCCAAACAAGTCACATTTAGATATCTTAAAACGTACATGATTTCTTTCATATTAACCTTTTTATTCAAAGCTATGATGATCAAAATGTTATGTTATATAAACATTGTTTATACATGTTTTAGCTTTGCACGATGGGTTGGTGTAATTTAACCTGTTTTTGGCAAAATATTGTATATGTTGCAGACTGTTGATGGACTTCGCTCTTCAGTTGGATACAAATTTGATGACAGAATGTGAAGTCAGGACTTGGGCTGGGCCACTCAAGGACATTCATTGTTTTCTTGTTAAGTTACTCTAGTGTGGCTTTGGCTTTGTGCTTCAGGCCCCTGGCATATGGATAGCATTACGGGAATGTTCTGGTGATAAGAGGGGCAAATTGGTTCCTGGGTTTTCCTTCTCTGAATTTCAGCAGGCTCAACATTTAACAGGTTACATCATCTGATTCCCATTAAATCTCACTAATGAGCCGATTCAGGGTGTATGCAGCTGTTGTCTGTCAATGCAGCACAATTGCTCAAGATAAGTTAGTTAAAATGACTCCAAAAACATTTAAGCAATATCCAAAATCTGTATGCTTAATTTCTAAAAAGATGCATATGTAAATAGGGTGATAAAGGTTTGCTATATGCTCGGTATATACAAATATGTGCAGCACTGTTTGATTTTTTACATTGCTTTCATCCCCAAAAATTTAATTCTGCAATAGTTTTAGATTTTTTAAACTAACCAATCTCCCTATAAGCAAGTTATTCATAGAATGTATTCCATTAATTGCAGAATTGACCACTTCCGCTTCCTTATTAAACCCTAAGCCTAATTTAAGTCAACATGTTTCCCACTCACGACCACTTTACACCTGCTTACTCTCATCATATAACCACAAGCTATTGCACTACACTGCTAAGGTTTATTAAAGCTGTGACTCAGTACAGTGCAACAGAGATAAGTCACCAGAGCCTTGACACAATACAGCAGTCTCTCAAGGTGGTGGAAGTTGCCCTCAGGGATGTTAATATTTCCCCACATTAATATTTCATGCCAGTGCATTGAGAGACAGATGTCCGTGGGGGGCAGATGGGAAAAAGCATTGTGAAAATTTCCGGTTCATCCTGAAGACCAATTGTGATTTTGCCACAGATTGGTAATCAATGGTTAAAGCCAATAAGATGGTGTGATACGAGAGGCAAGAAGAAAAGACAGAACAACCCGAGCTGGAAAAACCAATTTCCATCCTTATTGCATTATTTCTGCAGTTCTACAGCAATGAGATAATTATATAGGAATCTCCAAGAAGACACCAAGTAGTATATTTCACCGGGAGCAGATCAAGTCAGCATGTATGAATTTAAAATGTCCTCAACTTTATGCTACTGGGCCAAGACAGCACTTATGCGTTTGGCATGTTCTGTTACTTTAGAGTGATCGCAGAAAAATATTTCAAATTCAACACACTGGAAGTCACACATCTTCCAGAGGAGCACCACAGCTAATTTGACCACCCTGGCTCATTTGGTTGATGTTAATAATCTTGGTGGATACACCACAGTTCTTTTGGAGATCACCGATGACACTAAACAAACACACCTCTGAAATTCAATTTTAATATTTTGGTGTTGCAGTATATTCTATACAAGATGATTCAAGGTTTGTTCTTTATGGAACATAAAACACAGGCAAAAATGATAAGTTTCTCTTTTCACATTTCACCCATACACATATCATTAATGGAATCATTCTTTTAATAATGCATTATTAATATTCTACTGAGCTCATGTAAGCATGTGAGCAGAAATAAAATGGCTTCTTCAGCTATTATGTCCCTTCTGACACTGCTGCATTAATTTTCCAGTCAATGTGAGGCTCATCTATGCTACAGTCAAGCAGCATCTGCTAATCTGCTTATCTTTGAAATCCAAGGCCAAGCGAATACAGAGGACTTGCATTCCATGTATTTAAAATCCATGCACTGACTTCTACATGCGTTTTAATTTTTCCTTCTAAAACCAATACCACAAGCAATTTTCTGCAGCTGTATGAGAGAAGGGAAATCAGATTATATTATGTGATCTGGGTATTAAAAACTGTATTATTTTCAATATTTTTTTTTCCTTATCACTGAATCAAAGCAACTTTGTTTAATTCTGAAGGGTCTCTTTCCAAAACAAAAGAGCCAGAGCAACTCATGAAGTTTTCCCACTGGGTCTGACAATTAATGTAGAAAAAGACTAGGTTTTTTTAGCAAGTCTAATGCACCCATGACTTCAGTTTCTTGAAAACATTTCCCATGATGGTTCCGTGGACTGAAGCTACCAGCTTCTAACTACACGAAGCAAAAGTATTCTTCTTTAGAGACAGGTGATATTGCATTCCAACACTGCGTACTGTACATTTGAGTTTGAGCATTGGCCTTTGTCATTTTGTGCTTTTTGTCTGCCAATAAAATTATGAAGTAATGTACATAGGTTTGGATAATCTCAGATAATAGTTATTAAAAACATGTGTTGAAAAAAAACATGCTAAACCTTATCTCTGCAAAATAGACAGTTGTGCTCACTTGAAATATATACTCCCTTAACCCACTTCCGCTTTCATGAGGATCATAATCTGACTTCCACCTATTCCTCTATTTTGCAATGTCTTTAGAGATCAAACACTCTCACTAATCATGCAGGCTGGAGGAATAACAGCTTTCAAAGACACTGAAAGAAAAAAAAAGTCATGACTCTGACAATATTCTGCAGACTTGTTCCTGAAAGCAAGAACAAATACACAAGACTCAAGACACTAAAACTAAGGAGACACCTTGTTAACCACTGTTTGACTGACAAACGCAATGAACAACATGTGAATAAGCAGTCAATGCAGTGACTATTAGCTAGAAAATTGCATCTTGAAAGGAAGCAGTTTCTGTATCATTTGGGAAAAACAGTTGTGCTTATACCGATTGAGAAAATACCTGATATTAGTTGAATTCAGTTAATACTTATGGACATTTGTAGCTCTAAGTCATAAACATTCTCAGAAATGCAATTTTTTTTCCTACTTCCATATGAAATTGAAATAGGTAAGAGAATAGAGCACATCACCCTTCTTAAAGAACACTTCAGGAGTATCTGTAACTTTGTACTATGTAGATAACAGTATCAAATCTCCTATGCTACAAAACAAATATATGGCTTACACATGCAAAAGTACGTACAACACACACAATTTAAAAACACTGAACATGCAAAGAAGATATAAATTAACAACACTGCAGTATTATTACAAGTACAGTACATGTACAGTAACCCAAATGACTCCTACCTGTTAAACCCCTGGATTACACTCCTTTCTAAACAACTGGGTCAAAGGAAAGAATGCTATATAACACAGGATATATCCTATAGTATATCCCAAATATCAATTAGTACTGTGCTTCCCATATCCTCCTCAGCTCCAGTGTCCATTTCGTTTTTTTGTGTGCATGTATTAAAAGCAACCCAAAAAAACAACATGAAAACCACAAGTGAAAATGGATGTTGTAACTACCCCCAAACATTAGGGATTATTTTAGAATACTATATAGTTCCTGATGTCTAAAGAGGTCAAAATATTTCATACTTATTTTAAGATAACATGTCATACAAAAGAGGAGGCAAACCAGTCCATGTAGCCCATGTTGGTAGTCAGTAGCTTATTGATACAAGGATCTTGTCCAGTCTTAGTTGGAAAGAACTACACCGCTGGACAGCTTGCTCCATACTCCCACAGGCCTTGGGAATTTTATAATATTAATAATCACCCATTATAAAATAAAATGGTGAAAATTCTTCACCAAGGTTTTCAAATGAAAAAGTCATGACGCTACAAATTCACACGCCACAAAGGACATGGCTTTTTTATTTTAAAATAGTTCCATGGAATTCATCCCAAACAGGTGGGGGCTGATCACGGAGATCAGCGCGTTTTTTTTTTTCCAACCACATTAACGCTTAGTACAAAGCACCACTGATTATTGCTATGCAAAACTGGCAGAAACAAAATAAGAATAAAAAAACCTGTCAGAAACATACACAAGTCACTACAAGCCCTACAGTGTTCTAAAAACACAGCGATAGACTGCTAATCCAATTTGAATGCTAATCCAATCACACTTGTCTCATAATTGCAATTCAGGTGATAAAAAACGACGGTGTGGCCAGTGAAATGAAGTTAAAAAGGGATTCTATTGAATTGTGTGGTGGGGGGTGGGGCTCTTGGTAAAAGAAGTATGAACAGTGTATCTTGGTTAATTCCACTACCACAGGTCTAAAAAAATTAGCATTTACAAAATACTTGATAAAAAATATTCTTCTTTCCAATAGTACAAGAGGTGCATAAAATTAACTAAAAGTTCATGTGAGATGCTTCACTCATTCTTTCTTGTCAGCTGCTGGGTCAGTTTTCTGTTCCTAAAGGAAAAGAAAAGAGGAAAGAGAACAGGCAGGTTACTGCGTAGCCCAAACCAGAATGGAACTAAACTACTGTACCACAGCAACTTCCACACCATGTTAACTGAGCAGCAGCTAAGAAAAGAAGAGCAATTCAGTTAGCAGAAAAAAGTGAAAAAAGGGCCTTTTCCAATGAGCAGTGTTAAGCTTTTCCCTTATTAAAACACATAACTAATTAGAAGCTTTTTTAGCCGTGCCCTTAAAGGAAATTCATCAATCGCCTTTGCAATTGATTGTATTTGAATTGCAATAAATATCATCGAAACATACAAGAGGAAAGGGTCACTTTTCCTGCCACATGTGTTGATGAGCAGAATTGTCCATTTTTGGTCACTTGGATCATTTTGAAATTCTCCCAGAAACGTTTTGGTGCTGCACCTACTGTAGCAACTCTGTCATCCTCTCACATGGAAATGACTTTTAATATAAGTAACCAGCGAAACCATCCCCATAAAAATGATGTGTTTTCACATTTCAGAATTGCTGCCAATGATGAATAAAGCAACATCACGTTGAACAGTTGCTGTATGTACAACTCTGGTCTTCTGGTTTACAGCAAGTTTCACAATTAGACCTGGCAGTTTTAGTACTAACAGCAACACAAGTTTTGAGAAGAGCCGATGTTGGAAATCGCACGTGGCAGCTTAATATATGTTTTACATTATTATACTGATTTCTTTTTAGACCATACTATACATTGTATTTTGCAATCATTTGTTTTTATAGATTATTAGTAGAACAGGGTTTTAACAGCTTTGGATAAAGGTGCCAAATACAATAATAGCTACGATAATCAACATAGTGTCCCTTAGTGTCAAGCTGTGGTAGGATTAATGGCTCCTATTTATCATTTTTGTTATTATATACTTGTTGTTTTTCCAATACAAAGGTTTACATTGGGCTGTCTAAGCTTGAGCACAAATATCTCCCTATCCCTTGTTAGTAGATCCTTATTTCTCTCAACAGGTCATTCTATTTTCCTTAACCAATGGCTCAAACAAAAGCACCCCTTGTGACATTTCATTAGGAATGTATCAGCTACCGGAAAATGTCATTTTCATTAAATCTGTCATCATTAGCATCGTTCTAGGTATTCATTTAATTTTCTTATCAAGTCTTTTTTAAAAATCAAAATATTAATAAGCCGTGCATTGGAGACTGCACACATTTTAACATGTTGCAGTTGGATAAGAGCCCATTAGTCTTTACATTTTGAATCTTAACATTTTGTTTTGAAAATAAATCAAACAGATTGACCAAAATGAGTTATATGAGCAAGTTATTTCTCCCACCCCACCTTTACAACCCACACATACAGAAAAAGGAATACAATGTCAAACTCCCAGACCTAATACAGACGCAATCACAGAGTGAGACCTTAAGCTCAACCACAGCACACAATTCAGGAAAACCAAAAACCCCTCAGCCACTGATTTAACCTGCTCCTCTTCACTACTCAGCACACTACCCAACTTTCCTGCCTGGAAAACAAACCACCGCACACAGAATACACTTGCGTACCCTTTACTTTGACTGTTCCAGTTTGCCCTTTTACGGACAGCAAGCTGGGAGAAGTACTTCTATTGGCAGACACACTAACAGACGAGCGAGAAATACGGATCTGTAGTAGTGGGAGGGAGTAAAAAAAACAAAAAAACAACAACATTAAAAACACATGCATCAAAACCGTAAAAAAAAAAGGCGCAACAGGAATGGGAGAAAGTCCGGGCCGGAGAGGCAGACCATACCTCATCGATCTTGGTCTCCCCGTTCTCGGCAGGCGCGGTGCCCTCCTCCAGCTTTTCGTCTTTTTTCCCTTTCCCTCCTTTCTTGCCTTTCACAGCGGCCTTTTCTCCGGCCTGCTTCTGCGAAGACAGAGCACAGCAAGAAGCAAAGGCAGCTCGTGGCTCCCTTGCCAACTAGTCCTCAGGTACATTTTGCAGTCCACCAGGAGTTAGTTGATCCAGACACACGACACCACCCAGGCAGAGCAGGAGCTGTACTTGGGACACACGGACTCCAAGTTTCTGAAATGGAGAAAATACCCCAACACACACCCTGCCTGCGAAACAGGCTTCAATTAAAAGTAAATATAGTAAAACAAGTACAGTAGGTCTCAAAAGTCTACACACCCTTAGTGAAATTTCAGTTTTTGTTGTCCTAAAGGTTGAAATCAAGATGGATCATGCTACACCTTTTTTCAGCTTTAATAAGATCCTGTGACCAACAATGTTTTAGTGAAAAACAAATGGATCATTTTTAGGAAAAAAGGCTAAATTCAAATGTAACTTTAAAGATATATGAATGAATATTCATTTCATTTCAGCTCATTTGGTTTTTCACCAATAAATTATCCAGCCATTTCCAGAAAAAAACATGGTATCATTTTTGACAACATTGATGAATAGCTTGTTCCACACTCCCACAACCCTTTGTGTAAAGAACTGTGTACTTTTCTTGTTTTTAAATGTGCTGCCCTGTAGTTTCAACTTGCACCCTCTGGTTTAAGTTTTACTGTTGATTTGGAAGAAGCTTATATGCTTGGCTTCATCAATACCTTTGAAGATTTCGCATATTTGACTCAGTCTTTTCATTCAAGACTAAAAAGATTCAGTTGTTTTTAGTCTGTCAATATGGGACATTCCTTTGAGTCTGAGATGTTACCTAGTCACTCTTCTCTTTACCGATTCCAGAGCAGCAATATTAAATTAGTATGGCAATACCCAAGATTAGACATTACTCTAAATAAATTCTTAGTGTATGGGAATTAAGTCAATCGGGGATTTTAAGAAGTCAGTACTTGACTTAAATTATATTATATGCTTGTTATTATTTATGCCTAAATTGTCTTTTAATTACTTCTCCACATTATCTAGAAGATGAAAATCATGTGTTTTAACTAACACCTTAATCTTTTTTATAGGCAAGAAACGCAGTTTACCATTTTATATTCACTGTATACTTATTGTTTTAGCTGTGTGCATGTTGACAGGTGCAGTGTTACATTACATATACAGTAACCTGCCAGGTGTTTGCCTAATCTTCAATTGCATTTAAATCTTTTCAAACCTCTATTACAGCTCCTACCGTGTTCGCTAATCCTCATAATTTGGCATAATCTGCAAATTTAAAATTGATGCCACAGTCTAGTTTGGGGGGGGGGTCTCAAATTCAATTACTGTGGCGCCTGGATGTCTTTTGTTTTTTGTTCCAACCACGTACTTAGTTGGATAGTAAAAAACACTTCTTATTATTTTCTAAATTAGACTTAGGTTAACTGAATATTTAGATTAGGACAAAATGAAGACACCAGGCCCTTAAAGACAATGTCCTGACGAGAGCCCTGGTCTACATTATCGCTTCAATTAAGAACAACTGTGGTCAAACTTCAGACCCATGTTAATTACAAAGCTAAAAAAAAAAGCTTCAAGAGTAACATTCACCCCTTATCTGTACTCAAATCTGTTATTCAGTTGTTAATCCAAATTCATGCATCTCCTTAAAATAGGGGTGCTCAACTTTGATCTTCACTAGGCTAGGATTTACAGCTTCTCAAGAACAAGGAAAAGCTTTATCTTGTCCAATTAGGCAAATAATGAGTCCAACTGAGTAATTAAAGTCCAAGGTGTAAAAAAAAACATGAAACCTTCTGGCCCTCTAGGAATGGAGTTGTGCAGTCCTGCCTTAGATGCCTATTGCCCAGAATGGGACTGTTAATGGGGAAAATTAGATTTTTATGAAAGAAATTTAACTTGATTGGGATTAACAGCAGAGGCTCAACAGATCAGACAAGCAAAATTTATTTTAACCTAGAAAACAGAGCCGCAAATTCATTTTAAGTGGTCAACATGTGACTACTTAATCAATTCAAAGCACATAAGGGCACATCAACAATAACATACAGAGAAATGATTGATGATGAAATGAGAAATGAGATTAAGGTTCAATGAATGGTGCAACCGTTAAACATGTTAAAAATAAGAAAGTATCCAAATGAATTCCCAGTTTAAAAACTTTCTCTTGTAAGCATTCATTATTAGTAGATAACACCTTCCAGAAGACTACAGTACATATTGGTGAAGCAGGCTCAAAACCGTTAATTTCCTACAATTAATTTCCTGGGTAAGGAAAGGACAAAGGGTTTTGCTCTTACAGGCCTTATGAAATGATTGCGTTTTCTGTGGCGCACAGGTGAAGGCATTATTGACATTCGACAGGTATACGGGTGCTGGCCCAGGCCAGCTCAGTCATCTTACCTTCACAACAGGCTTCCGCGGCTTGGGCTCAGGCTTGGGTGGAGTGGGTTTCTGTAACAAAACGGCACAGATTTGTGGGCACACGTTACAGTACCTTAACTGAAAGGGTAATGGCACCAGGTGGGATGCACACTCATCAAGGAGTTGCCTTAAAGGTTTGTTCCTGTCATGATAAGCTGTTTCAAAACACTGCCATCAGTACAGTTTTAAGACTAGCCTTTTGCTGTACTTCAAGAGCATAAATAAAATATTCTTTTTGCATCATATTTAAATAAATGCTTATTGTTTATTCCTTTATTATTAAATTGTAAAAGCTCTCACAATATCAAATAGCTGGTTCAGGAAGGAAAATTATTATTTTCATTTGCAATATTTAATAGTTTAATCTGTTCTGAATTAATCACTGTGAGCATGTTTCCTTAACCTAAGAGCAGCAAGAACAGACAGTTGATATTGATACATTAGGAGACATTAGGAGTTGACCATGTAAATAATATCATCTAAAGAGAAATACACTTAAGAACAGCAGGACCTAAGATTGCCTTTATTACTAATTAAAGATAAATGTAAATGGCTAAAATGACAATTTTGTGGACCGTGATAAGTTAAATTTACGTTAAAAGTCTGTATAAAATAGCTCCACAGAAATAAATCTTTTGAAAATGTATTATTTCTAGGTGAGCTGCTTGCCTTTAGACAACCATCAACATACTTTCAGTAGCAATCAGTGTTGAATTTGAATTATAATTGCTGGATAAGTCATTACTGACCAAATAAAAAATGAAGTCTTAAAACTAAAGCTTTAGTGCCATAATCAATATTCTAAGGTACAAGAAAAACATTGTAATTCAAGTTAACTCTTTTGTTAATTGAAAACAGTTATCTTTAAAAACATCAAGCAGCATGCCAAACTATTTCTGTGCAAAGTGTATTGTTAGGATCTTGGAAGAACTGGCAAATTACAGATAGTGGAACAAACTCCCTTGTTTATTCAGGTTACAAGTAAAGCATCCATGTTATAAAGAACATCTTCAGAGACAATCCTGAAAAATCTTTTTTTAAATAAAAATACATTATTTAAATCTAATGGCGTGTAGGGCCCTGCTACTGTATTTATTAAAGCTTCACCTCAGCAAACCTGTGTGAGTGAATTCAGAAGTGTTCAGAAGTTTCAGACGACTTCTTCAGAAAAGAGAAATGCACTTATCAAATAAAGTTTCAGGTATATTACTACAGCTGTATAGTTACATACAGCAGACTCCCCAACGTATGTGCTCCCAAACTTAAGTGTCGGCTCCGGAAAAAAAACATTTTTTTCAATTCTCTGAAAAATTCGTCAAGCACTCCCATAAGAGCTTGTTAGTGAGCCTATACAGTCATCTTATTCACTTTTATTTTCTGTTTTTATACTTCTATTTAATATCTTGTACTACTGTAAGCAGTTAGTCGGGGGGTTATAAGGGTTATTTGGGTGAAAATCGACTATACGTGAATTTGGCTTCGCGTGCAACTCAAAATCCCTAATTCTTACATAAATTGTGAGTCACCAGTATATATATATTTTCAGAGAATAATGAATTCTGATTGTTTCCTAATATAGAAGACAACTTACTCTGTTTTTTGTAACTATAAAAGCATAACTTAATTTTTCAAACCCTCCTTCCCTGCTTTAAAAAGAATATATATATTTCCTCAGCTGAGGCCCTTCCAGACGTGTTACTTGATACTGTCCAACTGCGTTACTTAGTGGGGTAAGAAAGATTAGAGCTTGGTTTGGGTTATTCAGAAATGACAAAGTTCAAAGTTTGGTTTTTGCAGCTCTTGAACCTAGGTTCTGCAGAAATCCTTAAATTCACAGGGTATTAAAAATGATTCTGCCATTTATATTGCACTCAATTAACACTGACATAACGGCAGCAAACCACGAACATCCGAATGACATAATAAATTCAATCTAACATCCACTAAGGATATTAAAAAGAAAAGAACTCATGTACTTACAGCTGACAACCTCAAAGATCTTCTTGTTGGCTGAAAGAGAGAACAAGTATTAGAGGCGGTGTATTAGAAGTTAAACAAGGTTTGTTATAATGCTGTCCAAGCACTGACAGATAAGCATTCAATAGTGTTAAACTTATTTAATCACTGCCCATAATTTTTTTTGCTTTGGAAATATTCCTAAGGGATCCCTTACAA